CACACACACACCCCCAACCACACCCCGAGTGGCAGTTGCAGAATCTCTAAGGACTTGGAAACAGCACTATGGTCGGAAGTGGGCTCCGTGGGAATTCGCATTGACACTGCATTTTCCAGAAAACTCACCGTTTTTCCTTTTCCTTGCATATCACAAACAGCAAAGTTTTCTAAAGAGGCTTTTTTTCACATTTACATACGATTCAGAAAACATCAATTGTCTATATGAAAAATTACGAAAGGGGTAAAGCTTCTCCAAGCTACCATTTCTCGTCGTTGCCATTGTCTCACCCCACCAGAAAACATCTCAGACCACCCTCGGGCCACTCGAAAGACTCCTGTCCTCTGAGGCCCCACGAAAAGGAGGAAGCACTGACGTGAGGGTTACTTAAATTTCCAAGCTCCAGGTCCCTAGGAGAGGTATTTCCCTTCACGCCCGCAAATTTGTCATACAGAGCGGGGCTCTAGAATCAATCCCCCGCCAAATCAGGGGGGAGCGGCGAAGGTCAGTAGCTGTCTTCCTAGAGCTTCCCTCAACCCCGCCTTGCTTGCCAGTCAAGTCCGGAATTGCCGCAGTACTGGTTAAAGATTCACTTTGACCCGCCTCCATCGCTCACCTGATTAGATGTTTATGAGTCAAAAGGCGGGGGGGAGGGTTAGTCATTGGGTGTCGAGACCTTATTGGTTTATATATACGCCTGTCAACAGTGTACCGCCCCTGTCTCAGGGGGCTCGCTCTTTAGGCTCTTCTGCTTGTCCATCTTCAAGGCTTCTCGCCTTCTATTGGTTTGGAGCCCCGCCTGTTCGGTCCCCTGTTACTACTCGTTGGTGACAGCGCCGAAAGAGTCCAACCTTTCTCCAGAGGATTGGCGGATGAGTGCACATATCACCCACCCTCGACGGTAGGCGGGTAATCGTACTATTGGCTGGGGCCCCCGCCCAGGGCGAGGAGGAGGAGGAGGAGGAGGAGGGGTGGGAGGGTTTGGTTGAGCTGCAGCTGTTTGTCTGTTCGACACACGTTTGGGCCCGACGGGGGAGACGGATCCCCAGGTACAAGGCTAGCGGAGCCCAGAAGGGCAGGGGCAGAGGCGCCGGGGAGATTAGTGCTGCCTGGCCTGAGAGTGGGGGCGGGTCTGGGCCTAAGCAAGTGGGCAGAGTGGTCCACTGGAGAGTGGAGAAGGGGGCCGGGACCCGGCAGGCCTAATGGGGGCGCTGAGGAGGGGGCCGGGCGGGCTGGAAGCCTGAAGTTGGTGAGCGGGGGAGGCGGCCGGGTGCTGGCGGCGGCAGGACCGGGGCCGGGCGTGGAGGCCCAGGACTGGTGTGAGGCCAGGGGCAGGCCTCTTTAAACAGCGCTGGAGAGGGAGGAGCTGAGGGGAAGGGACGGGGCAGCGGTGAGGTAAACCCATTTGCCGGGAAGTGAGGAGGGGTCAACCTGATGGCCGGGTCCCGAGGGTAACCGAGGCAGGGTCTCTGGAGAGATGTTTAATTGGAAGGGCCTGAGAAAGGTTCTCAGTTGGGTTAGAGGCATTATTTTCAGGGAAAGTGGCTATTTTGGAAAGAATTGAAGGGACCCCAGAGTTGAGCCGAGAGGGACTTGGGTTCAGGGAGGGAGAACTGAGGCGAACGAAGAAAGCTTTCCTAATCTAGAAGAGTAAAGAAGTTGGGGAAAGGGAAGCGGGGCCTGATATTAGTTAAAAGAGCTGCTGGGAATGCTGAAGATGAACTGGAGGCTCTGGGTCTTGGGAGTACCCACTCTTTTGCTCCCATGAGTGTTGGGATGTCATAATTTGTAGTTTTCGCTACTCCCAGGGTAGGGAATAAAGACAAAAGTACTTTTTATTTTGTGCTTGTTGGCTGCTCCAGACTCAGCCCTTACACTTTCCTTTGGCATCATAGCTGGTTTAGACTCTGTTCTTCTCACCTACTGTTTCACGTCCTGTGAAAAAGCTAAGTTGCCTTGGGGGATGTTTTGTCCATTTCTTTCCCACTTAATAATATGGCCTGTGATGGGTACTTTATCTCTAAAAGTGGGGAATCTGAACGATTTCATTATCTGCATTGGAAAGAGGCTTAGAGATCCCCAGCAGTCAAGAGATCTGACTATAGTGGGTGAAACTTTTGTTGAACTTAGACTTGGGTATTTTCCAGGCAGGTAATGGAGTTAGATGGAAGGAAGCCTGAAAATATGAGCTGATAATCACTGAGGACAGCTTTTGGGAGAGAAATTCCATTCCAGAAGGTTGGCATCACCCCTTGTTCTTTGTGTACTTCTTCAGGAGCCCGGGCTTCTGTGCTAGTAGAAAGTTGGGTCAAACAGTGAGATATTTGGGGAAAGGAGTGAGTAGAGAAAAGGAAGGTGGACTACCAAAGCAGAGGAGTCCCCTCCTCCCCATATATTTTTAACGGTCTGCTAACCTCCTTAGTCCCCCATAGATTGAAGCCTGTTGTACTTTCCCTATTGTACTTCCTCCTTTTCCCCTTCTATACCAGTGTATTTTATTATTACAAATTTCATTTTAATTACAAAATGTATGCATATTTTTAAAATACTCAAACTATACAGCAGTATAAAAAGTGTAAGTCCTTCCATACATACCCCACTCTTATTTTTCATTCAGGAAGGTCAGAGATAAGAGACAGCAGATCAGACTAATCTTGCTTTGGGGGATGTGCCACCAGAGGCGATTCTGTTTTCATGTTCCCACCAAACTTCTGTTTCTCATTCTTTCCAATTTTCCCTTCTGGGATGATACTCTTGTTTATTGTGCTCCTTTCACAGTTATTTTCATTGTCTACTCCTGTCAAACTCAGGCAAAGATCTGTACTCTGGGTTATCACTCACCTTCTTAAATATGCACATACACCATGCTCTGGGTATCCTAGGAAATTCCCAAATAGATGGGACCACAACTTTTATTCTCTTTTACGGGCATGAAGGAAATATTAAGATGAATAATCTTGCTTGGGACAATTATTGGTATCACTGCTAAAGTGAGGAATTTGAGACTTCTGTCTTCTGGTTCATGGTCTGCATGTTCAGATTATATGATTTATCCCAGAAGATGATGATTCTCCTAAGGAAGCCCTGTATCTGTCTTTCTGTAGTGATTTTAGAAGCCCCCAGGTTTCTCTGGATTTGAAATTGGTTTTCCTCTGAACCTCAGAGTACAGCTAGGGCATTTGATAAACCAGTTGTGGTCGAGCCATGGCAACCCCATGTGTGTCAGAATAGAAAGAACTGTGCTCCATAGGGTTTTCAGTGGCTGATTTTTTGGAAGTAGATTGCCGGGCCTTTCTTCTGAGGCACCTCTGGGTGGACTCAAACGTCAAATCCTTTGGTTAGCAGCCCAGCAGGTTAACCATTTGCACCACCCAAGGACATTTTATACTACCACTTTATTAATAGAATTTGTCCTTACTGGCTTTAGATGCCCTCTAATGTATCCCGCCTTTGTACAGTGCCTGTCAGAAACCTCAATTCTTGTCCCCTAGGAGCTTTTATTTTCTCACCTGCAAAGCCAGTCCTAGAGAAAATTATGTAAATGTAGATTTTTTTTTTTTTTTAAATCCTCTCTAGCCTTTGCCATTTTCTACACCCTGGTGGTATTCTGTCCCTTCTTTCTGTATGTCCCTTTGTTTTTTCTACCTTCCCCTTAACAAAACCCACTTTTAAGAAAGGATCTGGAATTGCCCCATAGTAAGGTGTAAATGACAAGTCACTTAAAGTGTTAATTCTTCTAAAGGATTTTGCATTTTAAGAGGGAGCTTAGGAGTGGAATTATCAATATGGAAGTTCAAACATAGACCTGGAGTTGCAAAAACGTATTTGGAAAAGTGGGCCTTCCCATTGCCCTTGAAGTCATACTTTGTATATTCTTGCTCTTACTCTGTCTAGATGTAAGAATTACCCTTTCATAGTTTGCTTGTTTGTGTGCACTGATATGAATTTGACTTCTAAGAAGGAGGCATAGGGTAAGAGAATCAAGTATATAGCCTGCTCCTTAATTCCCTGATTAGGGAAATTCCCTGATTAGACTGGAAAGTAACCAAAGTGTGAGACACTGAACTTAAAATAAGGAAATGCAGCAGCCCTTTGGAGGAAAGATACTACAAAACCTTACATATTACACTCCCGCATCCCAAGAGTGTTTTAGGAAAGATTTAGTCATTGACTGAATAGTAGCTGAGCTGAATAAGGAGCCACCCAGGTGAGCAAAGTGTGTGCTGACTTCTGGGCCAGGCTGTAGCTTCTGTTTAGGAGCAGTGAGTACTTTTTCAGAGTGTCTCCTGGCTCTGTTGTGGTATGATTTTTTTTAAATGTCTCTCAAGTTCAGGAATTAATAGAAAGATAATGACCCAAAGCTTTTTGACCACTCAACATCAACTGAAAATTCAGGGAACTTTGTTTTTAGCTG